CTAGTCATTATGTTAATATAATGTAATACATACTAAGAGTAATTGAAGTTTCTTTCAGTTGTTGTATATTCATTAATGATATCTTTTCCTGTAACAGCTCTATCTCCTTTTCTCTTTCAATTAATGTTTTCTCTACTCCAATTAACGTTTCTTCTATTCCTAGTCATTAATAATAGTCATTAATACAAATCATTAATTGGTTGCTATTTTTAAAATAATAATTATCAATAATTTGTGTATTATTTAATTGCATGTAAGAAGGACCAGTATTAGTATTGAGTATATACTATCATCCTCCTACTATAACAAATTAATGTACAACCAATAATGATACTCTAAACACAGCTGTACTCTATTCTCATTATACAGTATTAAGTATGTCTGTATATTTACCTGCTTTGCTTTGAAGAGATGATCGTAAATGATCTATTTCCATTTGCATTGCTTTTGTCATCTTCTTTTTACTCTCTTCCTTCTCAGACTCTAAATAATAAAAATGGACCAATTAAATTATTAGCAACAACAATTCAGCTACATGATGTATTTATTCAAAATTCATGCACATGACAATATTCATAGATATCATGTCTCAAAACATGAATGTCATTATACCTGATGATTGTATTGATGACTTATTGCTTTCATCAACTTCTCTACCTTCATACAAAAAATAATATGCATAATAAATAATTAATTTTATTACTTTCTATATTAGTAACTGAATTGGATGCATTGTCAACTGGTGAACCAGTTTTAATTTGGCGAATTGCTAAATTTTAGTGATTGGTGAATTTTAATTTGGCAAAATTGTGGCCATGTGCCATTGAGCTGTGTATCTACAGTATAATTGCTCAAAGTGTTGGGTTTTATTTGGGTGAATTACTATCAAAATGTCAAATTTGCTAAATTTAATTCCCTACAAAATTTCCCTCTATATCATAGTCATACCTCTTGTACATTGGTGTACTTGTAACTGATCATTAATAGTTTGTAATAAATTGATCTCTTCTCTTTTAGTCAATGCATTGAGTACATCTCTCCATGTTGCTGTAGGATCTGTATTCAACCATTTTGTAAATAAAGCTAGTTTTTGATGTTTAGCATTTAACTGTTGAATTGTTATGATATTCCATTGTGTTATTCCAGGTAAGAGAAGACCAAATGATTGCCAGTCAACAAGTGGTTCAAGCCACTGATTTAGCAACATGAAATCAGGTTTTGTATAAGTAGCAACTGACTTTTTAAATGTATTTGTACTTGCCATCATTAGTGCAGTCTGTCCATGGTTGTCCTGAATATTAACATTAGCTCCAGCAGACAGTAAACTGTGTACAATGTCCTCATGTCCTCTTTTACAAGCTAACATTAATGCTGTCTTGCCTTCTTCATTAGTATGATCAATATTAACAGTTTCTAGTTGAAGAAGAAACTCTACTGCTTCAATATTACCAGCTGTGACTGCCTCAAGGAGAGCTAGTTCAAAGGTGAAGTTCATATTCTCATCTTCTTGAAGGACAGGATGATCATTAATGTATAAACTAAATATACCAATGAGACGCATAAACCGTAACTTTCCTCCAGTATATTCTATTAAACTATCAGCTGTAATATCAAGAGCGTAATAATGTACTGTTACTGATCCAGGTATAATCTCAATGTACTGCAGTATTGATTGCTTTGAATCAAGTGGCAGCATTTTTCCAATTAATCACTTCAATCCTTTCATTTTTATTCCACTCCATCTGTTTTGTAATTTTATTATCATCTTTGGCATTTTTGTTATGCCATTTGCTAAGTATGGCTGGTACAAATTTTCTAAATTCTTTTTCAGCTGCTCAATAGTTGTTGAAGAATAAAACTTCTCTGCATCTTCATGATGTGCACCAAGTTCATTTGCAATATCTTGTTCCTCTGGTATTAATGCTTTACACATGTCCATTATCAGGTCACAGTCAATGCAGTCATAAATGGGATGGATACTATCAAATATTTCTTCAATGGTTTTTGTGTCAGGTATTTTGGTACTAATACTAATGTGATCAGTCAGATAATCACTGTTTTTGAGCCACAATTTAATTTTGTGTAGTAAATCTGGTTTTTCTGCTACACATTTGATAAATGTTTCATTTACTCTTACCATTAGTGAGGTAAAGTTGTTTTCAATTTTAGACAATGATTTTTGAGTATTTATTTCGTCGTCTTTTGTTTGAAACCAAATCTCTTGCTCATTAGAACTTCTATTTTCCATTGCTTGTGATGTGCTTAACATAGAAGAATGTGGTATATCTTTGTCTAACTGGTGTAATATAAAGTTAGCAATATCTGTTAGTGTACGATGTTGTTGGTTTTTTAATACATGACATATATTAATAAGATACTGCTCTGGATTAAGAGAGGATTCCAACTGTTGCTCAATGACATTCACAAGCTTAGTTGATTTAGTGTAACTGTCTATTCCAATTACTAGCATCTCTTGTCTAGATAGTTTTGGTATTAATCTTGCAGCATGAAGCTCATTTGTTACTCTCAATAAATCACCAGAAATAGCAGAAGTGAGTTCAGCAGAATGAGTCCTTAATATATCCTTTGGATTACCTGCAGTAGTATATCTGTTAATGA